AACCCTAAACGTCATCAAAACCCTAGACCCCAAACCCTAAACGTCATCAAAACCCTAGACCCCAAACCCTATACTTCATCAAAATCCTAGACCCAAACCCTATACTTCATCAAAACCCTAAACCCTAAACCCCAAACTTCATCAAAAGACCTCCAAGCATGTCTGGGTCAGGGAGTTGGGAAGGTTCAGGGACGGTCCGAGACCAGACTGGAACCCGTGGCGAACCCTGCACATACACTAGGGTTTCGACGCTAGGGTTAGGGTTTCGGGAAAGTTTAGGGTTTAGGTTTTTGTTGAACCCGCGTTTCCCTCAGCTATCCGCGTCCGGAATTCCTAGCAGGAGGAGGTGTGCGGGATAGGGGTCTCGGAGCTTGCTCACTGAGCCCAAGTGCTGGAAGTCTCAACGGAATCGGCTTTGACGAAGGGAGGCTGGACGTGTGCTCATGGGGCTGAGTTGGGGCCCAGTCCAGCAATCCGACGTGTACCTGGTACAGTTGACGTTCCCTGCTGTTTCACAGCCGCGCTCATTTATCGCAGCAATTACTTTTTGTCTCTCGAAAAATGTACTTTCATAGCTTGTGTCCCATGCAGGTAGCACTGCATGCTTGTAATGCTCTGGTACTACGCAGGATTACCATCTGCCACGATGTGTTGGTGTAACATGGATGTGTGACTATGTCCTTACACCATGACTTCACTGTGGAATCTCATTCCACAGGCACTGTATCAAAGTACAGTATGTCGAAGTGATTACTCCCCACTCTACCGGAAACCGGGCAACCACAAAAGCACCGAAATCTTTTCGATATCTTGGCTCTGCAAATCGACACTGCCCTTCCTCCTGTCTGAGTGAAACACAGAGGATACTGTGAGGAACGTGCGGGCAAGCAATCTGTGACACCCCCATACCCCTTGTAGAGATTTAGGAACACCTAGACTGATGCGCTGCCAACGGATGGAGCATCCGCGACTGTACAAAGGGCTTGGGCCACCCATCTCGAGACTCCACGAATGCTCCATACAACAAATCAAAGAATGCCATTCACCAAGCGCTGATAATTGTCCTGGGGCCACTGACGCTCTCAGGTTCAAGCTGCAAAGTACAAGTGCCAGCTGTAAGATGCACTTCTCACGCAGTCGAAACAAAAGCTTCAGGCACCATGGACCTCCATTAAGCCAAGGATCGTATTGGATCGTCCGCCAATTGTTTACGGACGTGTCAATCAATTCGACAATTTTCTCTATACCTTGCTTCAGCTCCGTAACAGTGAGCACCAGGTTCATTGAAGGATCCAAGTCGATCAACACCAATCCGAAGTCTCCCCCTAATTTCGTGCTCTCTCCCTCTCTTTCTTTCGCCAGGGCTGTGGCGCAAGGGGTCTCTCTCTCTCTCTCTCTCCCTCTCTCTCTCTCTCTCTCTCTCTTTCTCTTTTCCTTCCTTCCCGATCCGACCAGGGCGAACACGTGCACTAAGCGCCGGGTCATAAGCGAAGCAAGACCCCTGCACATACACGAAAATGTACGTATGTATGTATGTATGTATGTATGTATGTATGTATGTATGTATGTATAAATATATATATATATATATATATATATATGTACATACATATATACATCTCTCTATCTGTCTATCTGTCTGTCTGTCTATCTATCTATCTATCTATCTATCTATCTATCTGTGTATATAGATATAATATATAGCTCTGGGTATACAAATATCTGTACACCATCGCGCATCTCTTCCCCTTGCAAAGGCAAACAGCGAAATACACAAAATCCTCCCTACTTTACCTTTACAGCTCTCTCTGTCTTGCTCTCTCTCTGTCTCTCTCATTGTCTCTCTCCCGCTCTCCCTCTCCCTC